GAGAGAGAGAGAGAAAGAGAGAGAGAGAAAGAGAGAGAGGGAGAGAGAGAGAAAGAGAGAGCATGTTAAGCAAAAGTTGTGTGTGTACGCGTGTTATGTGTGTGACGCGACCGCCGCTGGGATCCTCAATGGGATTCCGCGGCGGATCCGAGCTGAATCGCTCTCGATCGGTCCAGTCCGCCCCGGGACCATTCCATCGCTCTCGAATTCCAGGGTCCGCGGGTTCGTTGCTCCGCCCGTGTCGCCGGTCCGAGTTCACGACCGATCTAAAGGCCCGGGAGACCGAGCGAGCGCTTCGGCACGCCTTCAACGACAAGCGGAACGAGCGTCCGAATGGGAGTCCTGTCTCTTTCGCACTGTTTGATTCCGCGGTACACTTCGGGGGACACGAAATCGTCGAGGAACCCGTCGAGTTCCGATACAATATTACAAATTCGAATCTATAGCGACCGGACAGAGGTGTTCAGCGGTCGTGTTTGGTTAGCTCCAGAGGTTGCTGGTCCGTCCAGTGGTCCCTCCAGGCGACGGTGGGCGAAGAGGGCACGTCCTGGTCGGAGTCTTGCACGTCGATCTCCTCGTCCTCCTCGTCGTCCTCGTGCCGCTCGAAGTCACATTTGTTCGATGACTCGGAGCCGATCCCCGGGCCGGAATTGGCGGCGTGCCTCTGCTGCTCGTAGGCCGGGCTGGACGGCCTGGGCACCGTCGGCGAATCCTCGCCAACCAACTGGCTGATCATCCTGAACGCGCTGGGCTTCCTCTCCGGCTGCTTCGCGATCGGTTGCTCGACCCTGTCGATCCTCTCCGAGGTCCTCTCGGACGGCTCCCGGGCGGAGGAATTGGCGACGACCGCGCGGAACGCGCTACTTTCGCCGCCCATGCCGGCGATCGAGCAGCTTGACGTACGGCTTATTTCCATACCGGATGCGGAATGCGGTTGCTGCTGCGGCTGCTGCTGCGGCTGCGGCGGTGGCGGCGGTGGTGGCGGTGGTGGCGGTGGCGGCGGTGGCGAACGCTTTAAGAGGTTCATGCGCTGGTGACGACGCCACTTTGCCCGTCTGTTGGAAAACCAAACCTAAGAGTCACGAGTTAGGTCGTTAGATCGCTCGTGAACTTGGTCTCGTCTAGGGTTCGGGGGCTGCTGGCGCGCTCCTCGAGCAATTGGCCTATCGTCTTTACACGGTTCACAGTGTCTTATCTATCCGGAATGTTTCAAGAATTTTCCTAGATCCTTCACGGAACTTCTCTGAATCTTTTATAGAATTTCTCCGCGATCTATTCAGGATTCTCGCTGGAATCTTTCTAAACGTCGCCTGGAATTTGTTTTTTGACACACGTTGAACGAGGACGAAGGTCAGAGGACAGGCCTTTGCGGTAGCGGCGCGGCAGCCCCGCGAGCAAACAAATTTCGGATGGAATTGATCCCCACCTGTACACGAGCCTCCGAGAGGGAAGTTTTGGAGGCGAGCCGCTCGCGCGTCGACACGCACGGATAGTGGGACCTCTCGAACTCCTTCTCGAGCTCCTCCAGCTGTTCCGGGCTGAAGGTGGTGCGGTTCCGCCGGAACTTGGGCTGCTCCGAGCCGTCCAGGCTGCCGTCGTCGCCGTCGCCGTCTGCGTAGAGAAACAACCAGGCTTTTTCTACTACCGTTCCCCCTTGTTAACCCTCGCTCAACGACCGCTGGGCCGTGTCGGCTTAGCAGTGATCGTCGCCGTATCCGTTGTGCAATGGATAATACCTTTCTTACGATTACTCGCCGCAGCTCATGCTCGTACGTTCTACTGCAGCGATCGAACGCGCTACGACTGATGCTAGTTTTTGTTAGTAGCTCGGTTTGTTAGATCATTCAATGGACTGTTTAGCAGGAAAAAAGCAGTAGCAAGCGAATATACAGGAATTGTGCTCATAAATGAATCGGAGGAAAATTCAGTGTTAAGCTCTGTTTCACGTGTTTAACGGCGTCTATGCTTCTAGAATCCAGAAAACATTTTTATAAAGCTACCATGTTCCAATGCAACACAAGCTGCTCAAAAGCTTCTGAATGATAAATTAAGAAACTGCCTCAGAAAATGGAAATGCTTGACGCTACCGTGGAATTAAGAAGCACGGAGGCTTTATACTCGGCCAGCATGTGGATTTTAATAAAATATAAGCTGTCCAGCAGGTTTCGACTAGGAATCGAAAGAATTGTCGCGAATAATCGATCGGAAAACATTCTAAGGGAGTAATTCTATAATACGATACTTGCGCAACTGTCGTTGGCAAACTGTACACGAGCTTCGGACTTTAACGACGGTGCTCCGTCGTTGTAATCGCAGTTTGCCGACTCCCCTTATTATATTATTATATTACGGGGCTTTCACTCGCCCGGTGGCTGTCCCTCTGCGCCTCGGCAGCACGGTAAGACAGAGGCACAGTTGCCAGCCAATGAAACGGTCACAAAATCGTATCGATCCGTTTCGTCGGGTCTTATTGGCTTGGGCTGGTTCGCCGATTGTTACAACGTCTTACAAAAGACGCATCAATTTCGCCGTTAAGTACCTACGGAGGCTACGACACCGTATAAATCTGTCGCCGAGGCGACTCGGGATCTAAGGAGAAACGGTCATGTATACGAGATATCTCGTCCGCAGTTCTCAAGGGGTTGAAACGGTCTAGAGGAGTCCTTCCACTACCGTATTGTCACAATCTATCGCGCTAATGCAACGGGGGAACTACAATCTACGAGCGCGTCGTTCGATTGGAAACGGATAATATTGTACGATGAGGAATACGTTTCGTTTGACTCTTTGACTCTCGATCGGCGCAGAAGCAATTAACCTTCGGAATTTTCTGCGCGACGATCGTTCCCTTCGACGAAGTAATTCTTCGTTTAATGGCAGGGGGAAATTCTACAGAAGCGAGTCGAAACGATAATTAATAGACTGCAGAATCTTCGTGTATAGTCTAGGAATTACCGAGCGCATATGTCCGCCATTATGACATAGCAAACGTTTCATTTTCAGCGGATAAATGCGTCTCTAATGCTCGACAACAATTATATATAAGTATATACATTATTCCGTGTATTCAATTTAAACACTACCACACAAGTGCGCTACTACGGAGGTAATCTGTTTCTCTTGATTTTAACGCAAGAGTCTTCGGTTTTTTCGTTCCGGTGACCCTTGATGCTAGGTGCAAGCTAGAAAGGTCTATAATCACGTAACGGGGCATAATTTAATTATTTCTGTGCAAGGGTTGTTCAATATCCCTTACGAACACCTTCGTGTTCTACCAAATACTTCCAATGGAAAGTAATAATACTAGTAAAAGTAATAATAATACTAAACACAGCCAACGTCTCTTGAACTCCCAGAATTGCATGCTCGAACAGAAAACGGCTGCACTGTGCGCCGTAGCTAAAAGAGCAGCGTAATTGTAATAGGTTATCGATTATACCTTAGAGCACACGTTGACGAAGAACAAAAATAGAATTTCCTCTCATTTTCAATAAATTATCAATAACAAAGTTAATCATCATAATTCTAACAGAGGTCATAGAGCAAGACGTTAAGCAACGAGCATCTCCAAACCAAATCGAAGCAAGCGTGTCGAATGAACTCCGTTAGCAACGATTATACCTTAGAGCAAACGTCGGACAATAAAACCAGAATCTTCCCTTGTCTTCAATAAATTATCAATAACAAAGTTATTCATCACACTTTTAAAAAAACCCGTAAGGCAAGAGGTTAAAGGGTTAAGAATGAACTCTTACCAATAATTATACCTTAGAGCAAACGTCGTGAAACAATAAAACTAGAATTTTCCCTTGTCTTCAATAAATTATCAATAACAAAGTTATTCATCACAATTCTAAAAGAACTCATAAGGCAAGAGGTTAAAGGGCTAAGAATGAACTCTTACCAATGATTCTACCTTAGAGCAAACGTCGAACAATAAAACTAGAATCTTCCCTTATCTTCAATAAATTATCAATAACAAAGTTATTCACACTTCTAAAAGAACTCATAAGGCAAGTGGTTAAGCAACGCGCGTCTCCGAACCGAATCGAAGCAAGCGTGTCGAATGATGGCTAAGAATGAACGTTCACCTTGCAGGTATCCCCGAGCGATCGCGTCGGCGTGTAAGGAGTGGTCCGCGGTGCCGGCAGCCGACGCGGAGGCGGCCGCGGCCGCGGCTGCTGCGGCTCCCGGGCTCAAGGACGGGGGCAGCAGGAGCGCGGAAGCCGCGCCGGTGATCCCGGTAGCCAGCGGCGGCAACATCCAAGGGTGACCCGCCGCCCCCGGTGCCGGCCAGCCCGCCTGCAGATGGTGGCTGGTCGTCGGATGCTGGTGCGCGCTGTTGAAGTACGGGTGTGGACCCGCTGCGTAGAGCCCGTAACCGGCGGCCCTCGCGAATTCCGCGGCGGCACGCTCCGCGGCTCTGTTCCGCAGGATCCGGTTGATGCTGCTCACCGATGGCGCCGTCGCGTTGCTGCACACGCCTGGAAACAGCAGAGGGTGCCTCTTCTGGAACGCTTGTTTCGCTGAGTTGATACTAGGCTGGATTGGTTTCAAGAGTTTGTCGATGGATAAATGACACGTGTAATCACTCGGATCCGGCGGGCGGATGGAAGTGAAACGGTATTAGAACGTGGACGGTTTTGGGTGAGTGAAGTGATTCGGATTTTGGTAAGTTTTAGATGGATGGAAATTCAGAGTTTATAGGAATTTGGAGGTTAGTTGGAGGAGTTAGAGAAATGAAGTTTAACTTAGATCGTGGCGAGTCGTGGATGGGTCTAAGGTGATTTTCATTTGAGTCGTGGGCGAATGAGATGAATTGTAATCTGAATTTGCCGAGTGACGGACAATGTGCAATAATGAAATATGAAGTATTGAAAGTATGGCTTATATTATGAAGTTTGTTGCAGAGGTTATTACTGTAGGCAGACTCGCTGACGAAGCAAGTGCAGAGTCATGTTTATGCAGTGATGACTGATAAATGTCTAAATCACGCGAGCGTGACAGCGTCGAAGTTAAGCTTCCAACGACATCTTGTGTTCTAAATTAATTTGGCTCTCAGAAAACTAGAATAACGTTCACGCTTCATTTCAATTTAAACCTTAACCATATGTCGTAGTGTCCCATTAAAAACTGAACTCCCGTGCGTCCTTTCCGATCGACGCTAAGCAAAGCCTGGGCTCGACCTCGTGTCACTAAACTTCACATAGAAAAAACGTTTCCTGTCTCGGATAAAGCGAGGCTTGTTCCCGGGCAGCTAAAGAACGTTTCCACGATTCCGTTCCTTTAGAAATCACGGCGATACGAGCCGCGTCCGGTTCTTTTCTGCTCCCGATTTTCATGCAAATGACGCGCGGGTGACGTCGCCGACGGTCGTTCAAAGGAGAAAGTCGCTATTCCGCGTGAATCTCGATAATTAACGGTCCGACGGACGACGGGAAAACGGAGGAGCGACAAAAGTCGATCGCGACAAAGGTGCGCGGAGCGTGTCGCATCGCGTCGCGTCGCGTCGCGTCGCGCTGGTTCCTCGCATTGAAAACCGTTGAACGTGTCGGCGGACAAGGCCGTGGAAGAGTTTCTTGATTTCCATCGCGCAATTGTATGTTGCCCGCAGACACGTACGACTATTATTACGAGCGATTTGCACCGGTGCACGAACCACACGGCTACCGGCGTAATTGCTTGCCGGTTCACGCCGATTACGGGACGGATGGATTTGTAGCGAATCTGTTTGCTTTGCCGCGAGCCTCTTGACAATCCTCAGATTGTCTCTACTTAGCCAGAAATGATATAGCAGCGATTTGTTTCCCGAGTAATCCATTATCCCGTTCAACTTCTCGCCGCATGGAACATCTCGATATACGGAATCGTGGATTTTCAATCGAATTCACCGACGATAAGTGATACCGTGATTAATCGAATGAAATGATATAGCAGCGACGTTTCCCGAGTAATCCATTATCCCGTTCAACTTCTAGCTGCATGGAACATCTCGATATATGGAATCGTAGATTTTCAATCGAATTCACCGATAAGTGATACCGTGATTAATCGAATCTCTTGGAATTTATTGGATAGAGGTAGGAGTACCGGTGATTATAATAGAAATCGAGCGTTCGCACATAGTGTTTCTATGTAGCTAACATCGAGTTTAATTAAGACGTAAGCGTCGATATTAAGCGTTAAGTTGAGTCGTAGATAACATTCACGAGAGTAATAAATGTTGAGCGCAACGCTGTTTGTTTTGCTAGATTAATTATCGGGTGAATGAAATCCGTAGGTTCATGGTGAAAGGTGGACTGCAGATCTTTATCCAGGTTTAAACGTCACCGGCCCGCTTCCCTCTAATCGGAATTAATTAAAAACTAAATCTCCGTGCTCGTAGTGCCGTCCGGTCGCGCGCGAGATAATAAATCTATTAAATCTTCATTATCGTTTCAAGTTTATTGCGTTTGACACATTCGCGGACGCGATAAATGCATAAAATCCGCGGCCTAGCGACAGCGGATAAATAATAAACTACCGTTGGCCGTAAATTATCGCGTGGAAGGAGAGTTACGCGAAAAAAGGAGGATCGGCGTTCTTTATGGCTCGACATAACCCTTCATGTCCTGAATTATAGCGTTCTTATTTTTCCACCGGCGTCTTCATTCTGGGCAGTTCGAGACTGTTTAAATGATCCGCGCGCTATGCGTCAATGTTTTTATCGTTATTAAGGCGTAAGTGGATGTAGTGGTGCATTAATCCTCGAACGATAGAGGCGGCCGAACGCGAAGTCAATTTAATTGGCAGCGAGGGTTTTGTTCCTGAGTTTCGTCTGAATTGATATTCTGAATTTTTTGGAAATACAGTAGTAGCTGTAGAAATTGTATCATTAGAAAATAACAGTGGTCTTGGTTCAATCGATCAAGTAAACGATCATTTGTGTCAGTAGGAATCAAAGAATTTTGGTTCGGTAGAAGAAATTAGTGAATAGTTCAAGATGAATGTGGTTTTAGAGAATTTTTAAATATTGCACGCATCCGGACTGCAAGTGTATGGAACGATGCGATTTTATTGGCCACTATTGTACAATATTTTTCACCTGAAAACGGCTCGAGCGTAAAAATTGTTGTACGCGTTATACGATCGCGGGTTTCGGATACCTCCTTTTTCCCTGCGTTTGATCGCGTCGTTAAATTAAGTTAAATTAAATTAAGTTGAATTTAATTTAACCTCTAATCATATCTGATTCATAGCAGCGTTTTAATGGAGGTGGTATTTTAATGGCAGAGGTATCGGATGAATCAAAACGAGCCATTCATGAGTTCTTATTTTACAAATGCTAGACCGCGGATCTTTATGTAGATATAGATCTTTATGGACTAATAAAATCGAAATTGCGATCGGAAAAAATGTCTATGCAGCGTCAAGTGTTCTGTAATAGTTGAAAGAAAAGATAAAAATCTCGTTAAACTTCTTTAAACATTTCCCTATAAACAGTTTTAATTGAGCCTTCGCGTAGATGCCAAGTAATAAATGTTTTATTGCGTCTTATTATTTTCACACGTCGGAAGACTACAAAAACCCGGGACGCATCTGTTAACGCGGACTGCCGGCGCATCGGCGTATCACATTCGATCTAAAAACCCTCTGGAAAATCCTTTTCGCGTGATCATTTTGGAGCTTAATTAACCGACTCGTTCCTCTCATTCTTCGAGTCTTCCGGTAACCGCGTACTATCAATGAAAATAAACATTTCGAAACGTAGATAACGTAAAACCGCAGCGTTAATGGGTTCCCTTCGTCGGAATATAGAAATATTTCCAAAAACGGAATACGGTTGTCAATCTATATCTTTAAGAGAACATTGTTAAAAGTACTATTCGAAGGATGAACAGAAGTACTAATCAAAAAATCGATTGTTTCTGAATATCTTGAAAGAACAATGATCAAGAACTCGATTCACGTGTATTTCAGTTCGAACACTTCCAAATCAACTTATTTAGTAACTCCTTGCCAAAGCATCTACATTGTTTCACTAACTGCAAGAGAATGATCCTCAAACAGATCATTTAATTCATCTGGCAATTCCAATATCAATTCAAAATAAATAGATCAAAGTTTAATGAAATAACAGGAAAACCATACGAATCTAATTACCAAATGGAATCTACGGAAATCAACCTTCGCCACTCGCAACAAGATGACGAAAATTAAAACAGAATCTATAGAATGAAGAGGAAGATAGTAGAAGTTTGCGCTTACCCTCGGAGATGAGCCTCTCCCGAATCTCCCACGCGAAGATGGTCGGGTTCTCTCTCTTGTACTGCTCGATCTTGGCGACGACGGCCGGCGTCGCGACTTTTGGCTTGCTGCCACCGATTAAGCCCGGCGGGCGTAGCGTACCTGGAACACGTTAGAACGAGCTTCAAGGACACGGTGCTTTGGTAATACGCCCGGGATCGCGATAAAATCGCTCGTAAACGCCGATGCTGGGCCGCGTTTATGTGCCTCGTGCCGCATTCGAACTGAGCCCGCATAATTTCGGAAAATCACGCGACCATCGGGTATCCCGGCCTAATGACAACCGTCCACCGGCTGCGCCGCGCTTCGGACGAATATGGTTTGTCAAATGGCGCTTATAAACGCGCGACGCGCATATGAGCCACTATCTCTGCCACCTTCGGAAGCTATCCTCGATTGTTCGGATATTTTTCGCGTACGATACGCTGTCAACGGGGTCGACAGGGAAATATGATTTTTGTTTTGTTATTTGGAATAGTTCAGGTATTCTGTAGAATATAGAATATTTGAGGTTAATGTATTATTATTATTATATATAGTATTTGAAAAAGAAACGGGAGATTTGGGATAATTTTGACGCGTCAATCGGTTAATCTAGTTTTATTTGGATTTGTAGTGTGTAGAATATTTCAAATAAATGTATTATTGTTAGTATATACAGTATTTGAACAGGGAACCGGAAATTTGGGACAAGTTTGACGCGTCAATCGGTTAATCTAGTTTTTAGTTGAATTTGTAGTGTGTAGAATATTTCAAATAAATGTATTATTGATAGTATATACAGTATTTGAACAGGAAACGGGAAATTTGGGATAAGTTCGACACATCAATCGATTAATTTAGTTTCTAGTTGGTTTTGTAGTGTGTAGAATATTTCAAATAAATATATTATTGTTAGTATATACAGTGTTTGAACAGGGAAACGGAAAATTGCGATGAATCTGACGCGTTAATTGGTTAATTAAGTTCTCAGTTATTTCTGTTGTTGAGTAGCTTGATATCATCGAAATCATAGTCAACGGCAAAGGTAATTAATCGTAATAATTCAAATACATTCATCTCCGTATGTGCACGACTATCGAGCAGATCTCCGCAAAGTCTGGTTATGGTCAGCCATTTCCACTTGCTCCAACTCGTCCCTCCATCTTGCAATATTTATGTAATGCTCGCGGAAGGTCTAACTACACAGCTCGAACATTTGTTACACAAACGCGAACTTTCTACGCGACACTCAATACAGGAAATTCCAACAACCGTCAAGATCTCTCCTCCCACGATCTACATCTTCCCAAAACCGACGCGATCGGACGAATCCAAACGAAAGCGCGACATAGTGTCGAGGAACCGCGACGTCCAACCTCCTCGCCGGCGGTTCGAAAAAAGGAAGCCGCGGTGGGCGAGGGAATAAAACACGAAAACGCAGATCGAAAATCAAGCTACATGCATTAACGTCGGTAGGCGTAACGTTAGACGGCACAAGAATTCCGTAACCCGCACTGCAAGATCGGCGAGCAATTCGAAAAAGGCGAAAAAGGAAAAACGGAGGATAGTTTATGTAACGCATAAGCTGAAAATCTATTGTGGTTTCTGGAAAGTGAACGGCGCGCGGGGTGGCAAACCCGATACTCGCCGGGGCGCTCCTCAGGGGAAGGAAGAAGATCCTCGCGGCGAGTTTCGTGTTGACAAAATGGAGACACAAAACGATACAGCCCGAGCCTGTGCGTTGAAATCTCGGGGAGCATAGGCTCCCGGACATCGGATACTAATCCTATCGTGTCTGGGCGGACCCACGGCGCAGTCATTAGAAGCTTAGCGCGCGAAACGATACCGGCATGCGATAGCCTGCGATAATCAGAGATATCAAATATGAGCCGACTGGGGAATAGACGCGCGTGTAACGTTTCCGATACCGTGTACCGGCTGCCATGCTGCCTGCCTCGTTACGTTTCTCTCGCCTCCGAGGAGCCACGGGAGCACCGCCTCGGGGCCACCTCACTACCACCACCGTACAATCATTTAATCTGATTGATCTCCGGTATCCTCCGCGTCGGAAAACCGTTGATCGCCGGCGATTCTTGTAATCGACGTTTCTTTGATAAGAAAGTGACAAGATCGACAGACTAATGGGGGATAAATAAATAAATAATAACAAGAAAATAATGAGGAATGAAGTGAAATTAAGCTGGTTCGCGATAGTTACGGAGATACCTTTGATTTAGCCAGTCGACCGAAGAAAGTTGAAAGCTCCTGCAAACTCAACTCGGTTTCACCTTTTTTCCTTGGTGATTGAGATCTAACGGTCTACTTCGCTAACCTGCTACTTCCCGGCAGATAGCGCGACGATCGTCTAGCGGGACCAAATCGCTATCCGAGGAAAGTTTCACGTGGTTCTAAGTGGTGGTAGGATAATGAAGAATTTAATAATTGAGGCCCAATATGAATCTATTTCGTGTGAACGCTGTATCCTCCGGTAAGTAACGCGACGTTTCAGCAGTATAACGGAACCGAATCGTTATCGCCGAAGTAAAATCGCCTTCGGTTGGCCCTAAGTGGTTATCCGCTGCTGCGAAGTATAATAATCGGGAGCTATCGCGGATCTACTTCGCGTTAACACTCTTCCCAGTAAATAACGCGGTATTCTAGCAATCTAACGGAACCGAATCGCTAAAGTGAAACCATCTTCACTTGCTCCTAAGCAGTTATCCGCTAATGCAATGATACTCGAAACCAGCGTCACAGAGAAATTCCTTCCACTCGCTTCCAAATCCTCCTGTCCCAATAAAAAGCCTACATTCACTCGACGATCTCACTAATCAAAATTCGAAACAACTTCCAATCACGGACACCGTCTAATCCATTAAAGCCACAGCAATGGAAACCGCTCGTCAAAGCTTCGCACTCCGAAAAAACACGATCCCCAGGATATCTCATTATCGGCAGCAAATTAGTGTCCCGAGGCCTAATCGCGGAGTACCGTTCAATCTAATTCGACGAACGATTCCCGAACGTCGGACCACCGAAATCCGGTCCCCGACGAACGCGACGAGGCCCGCTTTCCTTTCTCCGCGTGAAAGGCGAGCCGCGAAGCTCTTCCGCTGTTTAAACTTCAATTTATCGCCGCGAGCGCGGTCGGGCAGCGCTTTTACGACGGCAGGTGTCAGGAGGATTTCGAGGCGGCGTGAATTTCGTCCCGACGCCGACGGCGCGCGGCGCGGCGTGGCCGACCGGCCGGCCACGCGTCGGTTATCATTGATTTTACTACTTCAACCCCTGGGGTTCTAGCCGCGCCGCGTGCTCCCGAGCCCTCCTGGGAAAGCCGGGGCTGAAAGTGGATAGCGCGGGTGCATAATGCAGGCCGTAGACGCGACGGGCCACCCGATGAGTTACGGGACGGCTCGCGCAATCGCCGGCGACAACGCGGACGATTATGCACCGGCGGCGTGCAGCTGCTGCCGGAGGACGCGGCCGCGATAAATTGATCAAGCGCGGGTTCCTGATGCCGAGTCAACGGCGATTCGATCGAATCAGACTCTTCTGGGAGCACGGGTAGTCTGGATCTAGGATCCATGATCGCGATTCGTGCAACGTGTGCGTCGATGATTTCAGCTTGACCTCAGCGTGGCATAGGGTGATGTGGTTTGGTGAAGGGAAGTCGGAGATGGGGTTTGGGAATCGTTTTCTGATTCATAATGGAATGTTTTATAAAGTGGAACTTCTTTGGTTTTTATGGTTCAAGGTTAAGATTGCTGTGAAGTTGACTTGAAGTTGTTATAGGAAGTTTGAGTGCTGTTTAGCTTGACTTTAGCGTGGGATAGGGTAATGTGGTTTAGTGGAAGGAAGCGGGAGAT